ATTAAAATAATTATATATATATATATATATATATATATTCACTTAATTAGTTGATACACCACTAATTCATTCATTTTGATTGATTTAGCTTCACAAACCGACAAAAAAACATCACTTAGTATGTTATCTTTTATAGACAAAGTATTCTAATAAAATAGTAAAAAAAACATATCCTTAATCCTTAAAGAAAATTTATTATTGTGCAACTATTGCTTAAAGGAATAGAAAATAGTGTAAACATGGTGCAATAATTTTTGCATGTAGCTTTATTAAATTCTGACAAGTTGATTCTATTTTAAATCATTTCTTGCATTCTAAAATAGTTAATTAATTTTGTTGTAGAACAAGAGATTCAAAAATCTCTTGTTTTGTCGATTAGGGTTAAGTTGTACTAATGTAATTTAAAGGGATGAAAATAAAGAACAATAGTAGAGATAACTATCCATTACATACCTTTTTATTCTATTTATCATACAATGTGTTTGTTTGCTATTTAAAAGCTTTGGAATGGAAGTTTCCACTTTCTAATGCATGGAATGCAAACAAAACAAGACAATTACTTTAAATTAAGAGTTAATCACCTATATACTATCAGTGTAAAAATTTATTACATTGGTAACTAATTATATCTTTTAATAGTATCATGTCACTTGCTTATTTAATGAAATAAAAATAAAATAAAAAAATTTAAAAGATATAATTTGTTGCCAATGTAAAGTTTTTTATACTAATAGTGTATAATGATTAACTCTTAAATTAAATGCGGGTTATGTTAAATTTAATGTAACTTTTTCCAAACACATACATATAAGTATTCACTTGTTTGTGTCATAATGAAACACGAGAATTTTTATTTAAGAGAAACAACACATGGAGAAGGAGCAAAACTGTTGTCATGATCATAGATATAAGAAACCTAGTCATTTGTCCTTCTTATCCGTGGATTAGCATATGATAATTGCTTGGTAACATCTCTCATTGTTGGTCGCTTATGTGTAGGGATGGCAATGGGGCCCCATGGGGGTGGATAGTAGTAAACTCGCCCTCGCCTCGCTGAATGAAAATTGGTCCCATATTCACCGGATATCCATGAATATTTATAATTTTTTTTAAGAAATTAAAAAAGTTAGATTACAAATAATTTTAAATTTATATTTAATGTCATTAAAATATTAAACATAAAAATTCAATGTTAATTTTGAACTTCTATTTAACGTTAATTTTGTTGAAATAAAAATAAAAATGTAAGATAATCAATAACCTAAAATACATCAATCTCACACAAGTAAGTGAAGGTCTCATATGACAAAGCTACAATAATTCAATATCATAATTCCAAACGAAAGTAAACAACTTAAAATACATAAATCTTATTGGTCTAATCAAAGCTAAAAAATTAATCAAATTACATCAAACATAATTTTATAATATGCTTAACATATGTTGATAACTTCATCAACCTCACTTTTGTAAGAAAATAAGATGAGAGAGTGTAATTTTAAGGTTATGGAGTACAAGGATAATTAGATATTTAAGAAATATTATTAAACGGGTACCCGCGGGTATGGATATTATCATACCCGCCCCCACCCCATTTATAAACGGGTAAAAAATTATCCGTCCCCATTATCCACGGGTACCCAATTAAACTATCCATTTATTATCCGTAGCGGATTTTACCCGCAGATACCCGCGGGTGCGGGTATTTTTGCCATCCCTACTTATGTGGATCCTTCTCGGCACATCTCAAAGCCACCATAAGCACTTTGGTAACTTCTTCCATCATATGGGTATCTGTAAATTCCTTCGCAAGGCTTGCATCAACAATTTCATTAACTTCTCCAGTTTCCATCCACATAGACCTAACCCAATCCACTACATTAGTACCCTCTGTGTAAGAAGGATCTGCTGCCTTCTTTCTGGTTATCAACTCAAGCAAAACTACCCCATAACTGTATACATCAGACTCCCTTCTATTTATTGTTATGTATGCATTCTCCGGCACAAGTCAATGTAAACATATTAATCCATATACCCTAAACCATAAACTCTAAACATATTAATTCATAAGAGATTTTTTTTTCTTAAATATATTTTTGGTCTCTATGTAATGAGCATGTTTTGATTTTAATCTCTATAAAAAAGTTTATTGTTTTTCAATCCTCTAAAATTAATTTGGAATCATTGTTTTTATTCTCTGAAAAATGATCAAATTTTAATTTTGGTTCCTATAAAATATCTTTCTTTGTTTTTCATTCCTTTAAAACCTAAAGTCACTATTTTTGGTCGCTAATATTCATTTTAAAGTAGATAAGCAATATTTATTTAAAATATTTATATAAAAAATTAGAAGTGGTGCATATTAATATGACATCAAATACAATTGTGGGTATCACTAGAAATAATCACTTGACCATAGTTAAAAATGATCACATAATAATAGAGACTAAAAATAACAATTTCAATTTTAAAAGATGAAAAATAACAAAAAAAAAATTATAGGGACCAAAATAAAAAATAACTCATTTTATGAGAACTAAACACATATTTAAGTATTTTTTTTATACATAAATGGTTGATAGGAGATAACATTCTCGTAACTATCAAACACGGACCAAATACCACTGTTTAATTACTTAATGGTTAGACAAAATTTAGTAGTACTCAGTTTAATCTAAGACTTTACTTGCCGACTGAGAGTTAACAAAGTCTGTCAAAGGAATTTCACCTCTATTGATAAGGGATCTTCGTGAGTAGGTATGAGAACTAAAATATGATTTTAATGATTGTAAGGGTGTCAAATTTGTGTCATAAATTCAAATTGGATGCTGAACCTTCTGTGCCAACCCATGATAGCTTTACGTAGGAAAAAAAATATTCAATGAATGATAAATGTACAAGAGTTACCTGGTGCTGCGTAACCAATTGTACCCGGCACACAAATGGAAGGATTTGAAGCCGAAGGCTGATCCAAGAGCTTGGCAATACCAAAGTCAGCAATGTGAGGCTCCATATCAGAGTTTAGAAGTATATTGGTTGGCTTGATGTCTCGGTGCACTATGGAAGGATCACAGTCATGATGGAGATAAGCCAATCCATGAGCAATTCCAACTGCTATCTTATACCGAACATTCCACTCTAAGGTCATTGGTGGGGTCCTTTCATGCAAAACATCATGGAGACTCCCATTTGGCATGTAGCTGTATAAAATTAGACCATTATCTTTTCCAAACCAAAAGCCTTCCAATTTGAGCAGATTTCGGTGCCTAACTCTTTCAAGGGTTTGAATTTCTTTTACCATGCTCAATTTCTTAATTTTGCTTGCAGCAAATTCTATATTCTTCACAGCAAAAGCTTTGTCAGGACCCACCGAGGCTTTATAAACAACTCCATGTGCTCCTCTGCCAATAATATACCGATCATTTAGGTTTGCTGTAGCCTCCATGACAGTGTTAAGAAGGGATGAGGAACCCTCTTCATCAGAGACATGCATTTGCTGCTTAGCTTTGCTGCCAAAAACAAAATCATGAACATAAACTAATCGCAGCAACAGCAAAACAACAAATATTGAGGGCCCAAGAGTTATCATCACAATTTGAACATTACTGAGGCCTTTCTGTTTTGTTGATTTGTTATCATCACATTGTTTTATAGAGCTGTTTTCAGTGCAAGCTAAGCCATCAGATGCTGAACAACTGATACACAGACCAGGATTGCCCATAAATGATGACCAGGGAGAAAGAGAATTAAGCAACTTCATCAGCTTCTTTGGTACACGACCACCAAAAGAATTGAATGAAATATTGAGTTCAAGTAAGGAGAATAGTTCACCAAGAATTTCTATGCTCCCTGTCAAATTATTTTGGGAAAGATCCAGTGCTTGCAACTTTTTCAGGTTCCTAATCTCTGCAGGAATGTCGCCTATCAGTCCATTTGAACTTAGATTCATACCATACATCAAATTCTGCAATGTTCCAACCGATCTAGGAATTTTTCCTCCAAACATATTGCCACCAAGTTGTAGTTCAAAAAGCATTTTAAATTCCGACAAGAAATCTGGGATTCCCCCACTAAAGTGATTCTCACTCAAAATTAATTTTGTTAGCTCCGTCCAGCTCTGCACACTTGATAATGAACCATTTAGGAAATTGAATCCAACGTCAAACATATCCATTTTGGCACAGTTTGACAGCTGAGAGGGCAAAGGACCCTCTAAGTTGTTGTGAGCGAGATTCAGAATCCGAAGATTCACAAGGTTCCCCAACTCTGAGGGTATAAGCCCTGTAAATTTGTTCATGGACAAATTTAAGTCAGTGAGACTTCTGCAATTTCCCAAACTTGATGGAATTGCTCCATGGATTTTGTTGTTGCTGATATCCATATATGCAAGATTTGGATTGCTTTCAAAATCAGGAAGAGGCCCAGTAAAATTATTTTGTTTCAGAATTAACCTTCCAAGAGTTGTACAGCTCCCAACATCAGGAGGTATGCTACCTTAAAGTTGATTGAAGCCCATAGTCAGAATGCTTAACTTTTTGCCAAAACACAGATTTGGTGGGATGGTACCACTGAATTTATTATTAGTAAAGTCCAACTGAACTAAACTGCTGTTAATTCCCAAGCTTTGAGGTATGACTCCGGAGAACTGGTTGTTAAACAATGAGATGTTTTTCAATTTCTTGAGCTCCGTCATCTCCAAAGGTAGTTCCCCATAAAGACTATTATTATACACAAGGAGATGCTCAAGACCTTTAATCTTCCAAATACTAAGGGGAATTTCACCTGTCAATTGATTGGTAAACAATTCAAGATCCACCAGTTTACTTAGTTTTCCCAGTTCACTTGGAATGTTTCCCTCAAGTCTATTGGAATACAGATGCAACTCTTCCAAGGACTTGCAGTTACCAATTTCTGGAGGTATTTTTCCAGATAAATGGTTCTCAGGAAGGTGTAGAATAGAAAGCTTGGTTAGTAGGCCAAAGGAGGCTGGAATATTCCCAACTAAATTGCAGTTCACTGCAGCAAATTTTGATAAACCACTACAGTTCCCCAAGCTTGAGGGAAGGCCTCCACTAAACTCATTGAACGAGAGATCCAAATACTGTAAATTTTTACAATTTTTGGAACCCAAAGTAATGGTACCCGTAAGTTTATTTCTGGGGACGCCAAAAGAAGCAAGATCATTGAGATTGTTTAGACTCTGAGGCAGGATACCCTCCAACTGATTTCTATCCAAAAACAAGTGTTGTAATTTACTGCAGTTCCCTATGGATGAGGGAATTGTCCCTGACAAGTTGTTACTATGAAGATACAGCCATAAGAGCTGAGTCGTGTTCCCAATACTTGTGGGAATGGAACCGTTTATATTGTTATGAGAGAGATCAACAAGATGTAGTGGAGAGATTTGAGTCAAGGAATCTGGAATTTCGCCACACAGTTGATTATATGAAAGGCTGAGAAACTTGAGGTTGTGCAAGTTTTTGAATGTGTCAGGTATTTGGCCATGGAAGTTGTTATCAGTAAGGTCTAAGCGTTGTAGCCAAGTGATATTTCCAATTTCAGGTCCTAACTGGCCAGCAATCCCAAAACCCGTGAGGTTAAGGTAGACAACATTGTGGGCATGGTTACATTGAACTCCTACCCAAGAGGAGCATGGAGTGGAATCAGAGGCAAGCCAGGTGGTGTTTATGGAATGAGGCAAGGATGTACAGTGTTTCATGAGTGACAAGAGAGTAACCCCATCAGAGGTGAGTGCTGAAACAGCATAAAACAAGCAAGAGAAGAGAAGAAGGAGCCTCATGGACATGAAGTAGTTGCAATGCTTGAGTGGGAGAGAAGTGATAGAACAGAGAAATATATATAGGTGTTTTGGCCTCTCACTCGGTTGAACATGTCCCGAAATTACCAATGTGTTGTCAGAGAAGACATGACACTACCGGTTTTACATTGTAGTCCAATAGTTGACAAGAGGTTTCCACCGTGGGAGACACGTCGAGGTCTCCCACACAAGAATCCTTCATCGTCATCGTCATGTGCCCACAAGGGTGCTAGTGTTGGGTGGGGAAGCTATGATGGTAGTGTAGACCATGGTGATAGTTGAAATTGAAACCACCACAAATGTTTCATGAAAACTATTTTTTTATTTATTAGAATTACAATAACAATACTAAAATTTGAATATAGAATCATTTGCATATTACTTCCAGGGATGATAAATATTCTCGTATTTGCGGGTAATATCCAAACTCGTCTCGACTTTGATAGGGAATACTCGGTTTGACTGGGTACGAGTAAAATTTGATATATTAAATCGGGTATGGGTACGGATACGGGTATGTACTTACACGCCCCCTACCGATCTCCGTCCCTGTTTCCATTTTTAATTTAATATCCACTTTTGATTTAATTATGTTATAGAATTTTAATATTTTATTATGTGTGATTATTTATTATAATATGATATGGAGAAATAAACTAATTATAATTATAATATAATAGAAAAATAATTTAAAAATATCATTTTTAAAAAAAATGGTGGGTACGGGTATACCCGATACTCGACGGGAACAGGAATGTGGATGAAAATTATATATCCAACTGGTAGGGGTACAGGGACGGGGATGTGTTTGACTCGCGGGGACGGGACGAGTATCATAAAACCCGTACCCGACCTGGCCCATTGCCATCCCTAATTACCTCAATCCCATCACTAGGTGATAACAATTATTATTATAAAATAATATAAAGAGTAGTATAATTTATTTTAATGTGTAAATTTTTAAAACATAATTAATAGAGAACTTTGTAAAAAAAATATAATTAATATAAAGATTAATTTTGTTAAAATTCATTTTAACATTTTATAAAAAAAGTTGAAATTCATAATTAACACTTATCAGACTAAATAATGTTTACTTCATATATATTAGTAAAAAAAAAGAGAGACATTTCATATCTTTGAATTTTAAAAAAATAAATAAAGAAAGATAATTTAATAGGTGTAAATTGTTATTTAAAACGAGTTTTTTTCATAAAAAAATATAATGATTCACTAAAATTAGAAATAAAAAATGTACTATCCGTACCATGAACCGAGCTTGAGCTCGGTACTAAAGCACTAAATGACATCGGATATACGTCATATGACATCGGCTACATATCGGGCCGAGACCAATCTCAGGCCCAAATCAACGTTATCCTCGCATAAGAAGAAAATCCTAATTCACATCAAGGTACGTGCACTATATATATGAGACGATTACACTATCAAAAACTAACTTTAGCATCAGAGTCTCTTTTGCAGGTACTACCCCCACTTCGAAACAGCTGACGTACCCAACGAAGAAGGCTCACCAATCTTGCCCAACAGATCGTCCCTCATGACCAATTTCCGGTAAGAACATTTGGCACCCACCGTGGGGCCGATCAAGACATCTCTTATCGGCCACGCTTATGGTATTCACCTGAAGCCATAGTAGACGAGCAACAGACGAACCAGATCACACAGCAAGAATGGAAGGAGAAGCGACATTGAGACGAATGATCGAGCAGGTCGACCAAATGCGACAACAACACGCCACCAACCTGGAGAACATGCGTGCCTGACACGAAGCCGACCTGGTGGCGCTACGAGCTGAGAATGAGCGCATCCGTGCCCAGCTCCCTCAGCGCCCCCCTGATCAGCCCCCTCAACCAAGCAATCAAAACGAGGAAGAAAGACACTTAGTTTCCCAACCACCGACTGTACCCAGGGCGGTGACCCATAGGTCTACTACACATTGGTCACATGTATCGACGTACAGATCAGACCATGAAGTCAACAATGCACCAGCCCAGGCTCCAGGACATAGGGCGAGCATCTGCCATTACCCTTTTGTTGACGGCATCATGGAGACACCTCTTCCTTTTGGATGGAAGCCCCTCAACATCGACCGCTATGATGGCACCACCGACCTAGATGAGCACGTTGATCTGTATGTCACACAGGTAAACCTATACACTAATGATGATGCTATTCTGTGTAGGGTTTTTCCGACCTCGCTCAAAGGATCAGCACTCGCCTGGTATACTCAATTGCCAGCGGGATCCGTCGATAGCTTCGACACTCTGGTGCGACGATTCATGGCGTAGTACACAGCGAGTCGACCGCATCACATCACGTCCGTCGCCTTGGCTAGCCTCGAACAGGGCGACGACGAACCATTGAGGAAGTTCATGGAGCGCTTTGCCGGCATCCCCGTCAAAATTCGCAACCTGAACCCTGAGGACGCCTTACACACCATGCTCATGGCACTCAAGCCAGGACCTTTCGTTGACAGCCACTATCGACGACCTCCCCCTAACATGGACGAACTCCGTGCCCGAGCTGCCGGGTAGATTCAGATGGAAGAGCACACCGCGTTTCGGGACCAAGTTCACGGAAAACCACAGGGGAAGCAAGATCATGGCCACAAAGATAAGGTGAGGGTGACCAACGACAACCAATTCAAGAAGGCTAGGACAAACAAAGGCGAAAGGTACGACTTCTACACCCCTTTGAACGCGCCCCACGTACACATACTAGAGGAGGCTAGTAATACCGACCTAATTACTTTGCCACCACCAGGACAAAGCCCCAGCAGCGTAGATAAATCCAAGCATTGTCGATATCACAAAAACTATGGTCACACGACCGAAGAATGCTGCACACTCAGGGACCGCATCGAGGAACTCATCCAAGGAGGGCACCTCGGACAATACGTCCAACGGTAGCAATCTCATAGAGGAGGCTACCATGAACGAGGATGAGGACGAGGCCGAGGCTCTGGCACTCACACCGATCAACCCTCCGGGTCTCAGCAAAATATCGGTGGAGCAATGCAGGCCGAGGTAAGTCATGATATAGGAACAACTCCCTTGTGTAGAGTCATCAATACAATTGCAGGTGGCTTCGCAAAGGGAGGCTCTAGTAGCTCAACGCGCAAAAGACACTTACAGAGCATTAACAACATCAACACTGACACCTCGGCCCCGCACCGCAACACACCACCCATCACCTTCACAAATGACGACTACACTGGCATTTGCCCAAACCAAGACGACCCCATGGTCATCACGGTAGAGGTAGCTAACTGGGAGGTCCACAAGACGTTGATTGACTAAGGAAGCTCAACTGACGTCCTATATTGGTCAACATTCCTAAGGTTAGACGTCCCCTATTCCCTGATCCAACCTCACATAGAGCCCCTAGTTGGTTTTGCAGGTGAACGAGTCCACACCCGGGGATACATCAACTTGCTAACAACCTTTGGGATCCCTCCCGACTCAAGGAGGATCATGGTCAGATACCTCCTCGTTGAGGCCAACACGTCGTATAACATCATCATCGGTAGGCTGACGTTGAACCAACTTGGAGCTGTGGTATCTACCCCGCACCTGATGATGAAATTTCAAGGGAGCAACCCTAAGATAATCTCAGTTAGGGCAAATTAAAAAATAGCTCAGCAATGCTATGCCAAAATCCTAAAGGCCTCACCTTCAGAGGAGCACTGCCGAAGTGACCCCCCTATGATAGCTCACATAACCCAAGTTGATGTCACTAACCTGGATCCGAGGTCGGAATCCCATGACAACCGACCGAGTCCAATTGACAAGCTTGCTGATCTGCAAATTGGAAAACTCCCTGGCCAGTGCACCAAGATAAGCCAACATTTGAGAACGGAGTTGCGGCAATAATTTGTAGCTAAAATCTCCAAAAATGCCGACCTCTTTACATGGTCCAGCGCCGACATGCCAGGTATAGACCCTAACCTTATCTGTCATAGGTTGGCAATCCATAAAGAATCCAAACCAGTGGCTTAGAGAAAACGCAAATTCAGAGGAGAAAGACAAGAAGCCATCGTGGCTGAAACGCAAAAATTGTTGAGAGCAGGCTTTATCCGAGAAGTCAGATAGACTACTTGACTAGCCAACATAGTACTCGTCAAAAAACACTCGGGCAAGTGGCGCATGTGCGTCGATTATACCAACCTAAATAAGGCATGCCCAAAAGACGCGTACCCTTTGCCGAGCATAGACAGGCTGGTCGACGGAGCCTCCGGCCACACCCTCCTCAACTTCTTAGATGCGTATTCGGGGTACAACCAGATCATGATGTATCCACCAGATGAAGAACACATCGCCTTCATCACTGATCAAGCCAACTTCTACTACCGCATGATGCCGTTCGACCTCAAGAATGCGGGACCCACTTACCAGCGATTAATGGATAAGGTTTTCCAGCACCAAATCGGGAGAAATATGGAGGTGTACGTAGACGACATGGTTGTCAAAACACCGTCAGCCGAGGCTCACGCCACCGACTTGGCCGAGATGTTCAAATAAATTTGGAAGCACAACATGCGCTTAAACCCAGAAAAGTGCATTTTCGGTGTCCAAGGAGGTAAATTTCTCGGCTTCATGATCACCAGCAGGGGAATTGAAGCCAATCCGGAGAAATGCAACGCCATCATATAGATGCAAAGCCCCCAGACTGTCAAGGACTTCCAACGCTTAGCAAGAATGTTAGTCTCTCTTTCTCGTTTCATTCCTAGGTTGGCGGAGAAAGCAGGGCCCATCTTCACCTTATTGCGCAAGCCAAAGAACTTTGAGTGGAGTGACCAATGTGAAGAAGCTTTCAAGAGCTTCAAAGTTTTTCCTGCCACTCCACCAGTCCTACAGAGGCCGGATCATCATTCCGACCTCCTTCTCTACTTGGCCGTGGCAAAAGACGCAATCAGCACGGTAATAGTCAAGAGCATCACATAGAGAAAACGCCCATCTACTTTATCAACTAAGTCCTACAAGTGATAGACCATGGGCCAAGGGCCCAGTCACTAGAGCTATGGCTAGAAGAATCTAAGAAGAGTTGGACCTCTTGAAGACTAGTGGTCTTTCCAAGCCCAAGGTATTCTTCACTTGGACTACTCAATCATAAAGAGAAGGCCTAGTTCTACTTGTGTATATTGTATAGTTTTTACATAGTCTCTTATATAGGTCATTTTTGCCTTTGTATTTGTGAGGCACTTTACTTGCTTTTTCTAGTGTTTGTATATT